GGGTCAATTGGTTTGCGAACAAAGGCAACGATCGTGAAAGCTTGCGGGAGGAAGATCGCGAGTTGGAAATGTTTTTGCTTGAGGAAGAGGCATGAGACATTCGTTTCTTTGGCATTTAATGACGAGCAGAACGTGCGAAGTTCATGGGAGATATGACGTCTAGTATGCGGGAGGAGAGGCATCAATGTGCATAGGACAGCGCAAGACGTCTCAATAGGTACGCAAAATCCCTTTCGGCTATCGTATATTAGTCAACACAATCATGCATGTCTTTCGTGACATGGTGGACTGACTAAGACTCCCAAACATTCTCCTAAATAGGGGATAGGTCATGAGGTTGCCGAAATTTAAAGCGACAAGGAACATAACTTAACTAAAATTAGAAGGAATTGAATTTGAGCAAAAGCAGGGGACTGAACTTGAACAAAATCACAGGGAACTAGACTTGAAATAAATATCTAAAGTGAGAAAACGCAATCAAATAACAAATGATGAACATAAAGTTAAATGGTGGCTCACTAGTAGATAATTACAGGGAACTTGTGCTAAAATCTCAATGCACATGATTTGTTTATAAGCAATTGAACAATAAAGATGTTGACTTGCTCAAAAGTAATAGTGCAAACTTTCAACGAATATGACAATTATATAAGTTAACATTGCAAATGCCAACAGGCAGCAATGACAGTTTTATTTACAAATCATCAAGCAACATAACAAAAGGTCTGTGATGTATACATCAAATTGCTTATAAATGACATCAGGAGATATGCAACAAATACAACAACTTTCATGCAGTTGATTTCAACTCGCAAACACACTTACCAAACCCTTGCAAGTGATGACGATCGATATGCAATGAATATGAAGAATCCCCCACAAATACTAATATTGGGGTTCCAACAAACACAACATCCTGCTCGCAATCAATATGCGACAAATGTGATGGATTCTCTACCGACACAGATAAGAGAATTATGATGCATGCAACACATTCTACAAGCCAAGGCAACAAATTGTAATGAGTGCAGATACCTGCAAGAAACGACATAAGGTTTGAAGCTCACACAATAGCATTGTTTACAACCAATATTAGAAGATACTGCACTAAGTACAATCACAGGTAGTCAACATCAACTTACAAATGAATACATTAGCTTGCTTGCAAGCAACAACAGTAGATATGTTGCAAGAATGAGGGTTCTTTGTGAACAACGAAAGTTGATATATGAATGAATGCAACTTACCTGATAGCCAACATCAATTTGTAAATAAATACACTAACTCATCTACATTTAATGAAACATCTCCCAAACATACATAATGCAATATGCAATGAATGCTACGACACTTCTACAATAATAATAATTCAGTACAAAGCAAATGCAGTAATTTTTCTCAAGCAAGGGTGGTCAATACATAATAAATGCAAGTGCCTACAAGCCATTGTAAGAGATTCATCATGTACATAGCACTCACTTGCAAGAAGCAATGAGCAATCCATAGCTCAGTGCTACGACACTTAAGGGTGCAAACAAGTCGAGTCGAGCTCGAGTCAGGGGGTGTTCGAGTTGTGCTCAACTGTCAAATACCGAGCTCGAGTTTGTCTGACCATAAAAGAGCTCGAATCGGCTCACGAGCCTTGGCGAGAATTTTTTAATATTATTAATTATTTTAAATATTTAAATATTTAATTTTTTTAATATTTTAAACATTTATTATTAATTTAAAACATTAAATATTATTTTATTTTTATATTATTAAATATTTTAATCATTTATTATTATTATTTTTAAATATTTAAATTTATCAAATAAAATAAAATTATTTTAAAAATATTAATAATTATTCGAGTCGGCTTGCGAGATCACGAGCAGATCCTCATCAAGCTCTAACTCGAGCTCGCTTGTGAGCTCGATAAGCTCAGCTCACGAGCCAACTCGACTCACATACACCCCTAGACCTACCTACAAGCAAAGTTGGAAGATTCATGCCGACTTCAGTCTACTTACATGCAACAGTTGGAGGCTTCTAAATGTCCACTGCTCGCTAATAAATGATGTTAACAAAGCTTGCAATACATGACATCTAGCATGCAAGAAGCTACGAGTGACCCATAGCACAATGTTATGACCCACCTACAAGTAATGTTGGAATATACGCCCTGAGCACAGTTCACCTATAAGCAACAACTGATGACTCTTGAATGCCAAGTGCTAGGTCACGAACAATATTAATGAAGCTTGCATTGCGCGACAACCTATTTGCATAAAGCAGCAAATGAGCCGTAGCCCAACGCAACGATTCACCTGCAAGTAGGCGCATGGAATTTGTAGTGAAAATTATGGAGCATTGGTGGAGGACTCCTGATGCATCATAAGGCGTGTTTGTAGGAAAAAATACACTCCTACGGGTTGAATACTAAAAAGAATGGCAACTCGCACAAGATGAAACGAGCCAAATAGGCCATTGGATCCGCAACATTCATATAAGTGAACAGAAGGCGTTTACAAGTACACAATATAAAACTTGTGCATTTTTCAAATGATCATCACCTGCACAATTAGTTATATTTCAATATTGCAAAAACACCCCCCTCGTGCATTGACATGCTACACTAAAATGCAGTCATACTATACATTTACACATTGTAATATGAAAAATGCATTATGCAAGTATACTATCTAACACACAAAATGCATTGTATAGCGGTAGCGCGTTATGTTGACATGCTAACACTTCATGCACTACATGAAACGCTGAACCATCATACAAATGCATTATGCAAACAAATAAGCAATACATAAATGCATTATATATACATATTATGCAAATACATCATACACTATGTTAATGCATTAAGCTATTATGCAACATATCAACACATCATGTAAAATGCATTTAAAAGCATATACTCGCATGTGCTCCGACAAGCGTGATGTATATACATATGTGATGTCTAAGGATGCTGCGCAGATCAGAAGTGAACCTGAGCTTAAGTTTGATCCTCCTTTGAACCGACTGGAGTTGATACGACTTAAACTATTGAATAAATACACAATTATAGCACCGACCGAAGTATTTGATTTTATATGTTTATATTAGGCCTTCAAGGTCTATTACAAGAAGGGTTCATTGCTAAAAGCGTAAAACTTTTTTGATTCTCAATATTCGTGTGATAATTCACAACAGCAGTAATTGAATCCTATCCTCTGTCAGCAGGCGTTCAGACTTGACACGGTTCAAATGATAGGTACACGGCCTATTTAAATATCCCCGTTGATGGCCATGTTGACAGAAAATCTTAATCGGAGGGGACCTCAAACATTTAAAATGCCTCTCAAATTCCTATAAAATACAAGCATATGATTTGACAATATAGTCACATCAATGATGGCCGTGTTGAATGCAAATCTCCACTGGAAGGGTCCATGCAAATCTTAAAGTTAATTGTTCGGGGATCAATTTTAAATAAAAAATTCAAATCTGCACTCTTCAAAAATTCAAGATATTCAATTGAAATAAATCATCTAACTCTTAAAGAAAAAATTCATCTACCCTCCGCAATAATTTGTAAATGTGGACAAGTTTAAAAGTCACTTCAGCTCACAAAGAGTGAATGTCTACTCGATAATATCGCTAGGATTCATTCTCAAATCATTTCTTGTCAGTAAAGACGTGACACATATCCTTTAACTGGTGGTTTTGCTGCCAAATGGCACCACAGGTACATGGTTATGTTCGGGACGCTCTGACTGGGTGTTTCTGCTGTGAAATTGTACTACTAAATTACGGTCATGGTCAGAGACTGTATGTTCCCTAACGTCTTTAAATTATTGAGTAATGAATCGATAGGGTATAACTGATAGGACACAAAGCCCTTTGTTAGCTAAGGTGGCTTCAAATTTGTCTCCTTAGACAAATATACATCCCAAGTCTACAAGATACCCTTGAACGAAGCAACTAATGGCAGTCAATAAGGATCATTTGGTCAGGTTGAATCAACTATATTTTTTGACTGAGTAGACTAGGGATCAGGATAACCCGGGATGATGGAACCATGGGATTTGATCGGGTTCATCATCATTTCCCTCACCATCCGCTTCAAGTGCACGGTGATAATTTTCAAGTTTAATTCTCTAATTTTTATGCTACTATACACTGGATACTATGTATCTATTTAACAACTAGCCTTGATCGAAAGTTTTCTCTCGTTTTCGGGAGGGGTAATTAACTATAGGGGCTTGCGCCTTTAGGAAACATGAACTTATATCATAAAGTTCTCATAAAATTAGGACAAAATCTCTGGATAATATCTTATTCAAAACCCAATATGTTTTCTAAAAACTTACCTAAGAACCTACTCGTTAAAACTCTCCTCGACAATCCTTAAAAAGAAAGGGGCCATGGAGAGGACGGGGCATGAATTTTCGAAGCCCACACTTTTTTTGTTATGATTTTTGTATGAAATCTAGAAGTTCAAAATTCTTTGTTGAACTCATTATTCAATGTATTTGTGAAACTAGTCATTTGAGATTGCTGTGAAATGCCATTGATTGGCCCCATTATTCATTTTTTATTAAACTGCGTGTACCTTCTTAAATACATGGATGGCTTTGTTGTAAATTTGTAATTAGCTTTGGTTATTACAGCTAAGATTTGACATCATTTTTCTTTCAAATTGCTCCTAATTTAGGCTTCCTTTTGAGATGGTTAGTGTAATAGATCTCTCTACATCTTGGCTTCACAGTGAGAACTCTACATCAATAACTTAAACTGCATTTCTTCAAAAATTCTATATGACTAGGTTCTTCAATTCATCGTTATTTCAAAGTGCTCAGCAACCTCAGTGCAATCCAGCTGGAAGTTGAGGCCACACTTTTTCATTTGTCTGGAATTTTTTTCAGTTAACTCATATCATGCCTAAAATTTAGCTACGGTGCTGTTTATTTTGTCTAGTTTAATGGCTAGTCGTTAACTGACAGTACTATTTCTGACAGCTTCCGGCAATTCTTCATCCTGGCATTACTATTGTCATTTGTCCTCTCCTTTCTTTAATTCAAGATCAAATCTTTACTTTGAATGTTAAATATGGGATAGCGGCAACCTTTCTGAATTCACAGCAAACTACTTCGCAGTCTTTGGCAGTAATTCAAGAACTTAGGTATAATTTCTTCTCTCGAGCTCTATTTTTTTTAAGAGGTTTTGTTGTGTTTGATAATGATAACTACACTTGATATAGTTTTTGAACATTTCCATTTAATTGACTGCAACAGAGTTTTCTAACATATTTTTGCTAATTTTCCAACACTTTTCATCTTATAGGTTTTAATTTAAATTGATAGAAACTAGGTTGAATTAACTATATAAATCATTGACATTTCTTGGCCTAATTCAAAGCCTCCTATTCGAGGTACATAAAAATTTTTCTAATGCAAGTTGTAAGGAGGAATTGATGTGTTCAACTTTACCGTCATATTTGTCAGTGTCACAAAATGGTATGCATCTTGGTATACAATACAACAGGTGCACTATCTGCGTTATAGTCATGATGTTGTGCACATGCAGAAAATGTTTCACACTATGGTGCCAAGTGCATGTATGTCATTTTAAAACACTCTTTTATATATATTTTTATACTCGATTTGTTAACAATGATTAGATAATCTCACTTAGTTAATCTAATAATCATCACCTAAGCAATTAATTACTAAAATAATATAAAAACAGATTAATATTCTACTCAGATAGACCCTATCTAGTAATCTTGTAATCCCATCCTTGAGCCTCCAATTATATGAATGCTTGTCATGCATATAACTGATTGGTGGCTAGTATATGGTTTAGCTGCTCCTACCTTGCGTGATTTTGTGATTAAAGTGCTTAGTCTCACATGCAGTGCAATTGGGTGTAATGAAGTGTGTTTGAACATGTAAATTTTTTTGAAGTTGAATACTAACTCCTTAATTATTACAAAATAAACAATTCTTTCTATGTTATTAATTAAATTTAAGTTTCAAATTGAGTAATCTTAGTAGACTTTATTACAACTCGATAGCAAAAAAGTAACAAGTTGGAGCATGATCGTCGTTATAATTTGATGTTTGTGAAATATGATGGAGCTTAGATCCAATGTACAACCATTGTGATATTATCAATCCAATTTGGCTTGATAACCTTGATGTTGCCTATGAATGGTTTACTAAAAATTGGATATTTATTCTATTGAAGATGTTGATTTGATGTCTATTGAAAACTATCCAACTTGGGGCAATGGTTAAGATTAGAAATTCTTACAAAAAATGTGCTATATTTGAAATTCTTTCGAAGGAAAAGGAAATGATATCTATTTTGCCTAGGGTTAGGACATTATTTGATGAAAAAGATGAAATGATTGAGGAAGATTACTCTACAGGGGATGAAGATGGTGCTGATAAAGTTCATTTTATCTTTGATGATGATTAATATAATGAAGATAATGATGGTGAGGTTTATATCTCTTGCTTGGCATGTATCTTTGCGATGAAACTCTATGTTTCTATATTTTGGATGAATTGCATATTTCGTGTCATTTTTATAACTTTTTAGTTGTCTGATTGTCATTTACTCTAATGTATTGGATGAAATGCGTCATCATCATCTTCATTAATATTGTCCCAGCTATTTGGAGACGGCTTTATTAATATTCATTTTTTATTAGTTCTTACAAATTTCTATTTAAGGAGTTCACGGCTTTTCTTTGCAACTTATTTTACAGAACTTCTATCCATGTAAAGTTAAGTCTAGCCCTTCTCCTTAATAATCTTCTAGCTATAATTTTATTTGCTTGTATACTTGGTGCATTTGCTACCCTTTATTATATGTCAATCATATAAATTTCTTTTCAAGCACATTATTTTTAATAGATGCCACTTTAATCATCTTTCTAGTATATCATTCTTTAACATCCATCTCAACATTCCTATTTCTACACTCAACTTATATATCAATAATTTTTTTATTGTCTAATATTCAAATTCATATAGCATTGTTGTCTTAATTGAATTTTTATAATCATTGTTGACCTTGTTGACTCAATCTATTGTTGTAGGCCTCATTCGGTTTGTTTTAGTCGACCTATCCATGTTGTATTTGTCTTTTAGACTCGGAGACTCAACTTAACAAGATGAAAACTCACAGACGAACGAATATTTTAAATTTCGTTCAATAATATTACTAATAACAAATTATTTCTAATATTACTGAAAGAGGCACTAAACTTTTAATTCATTTTAAGGTGAATTAAAATAACTATTGTAACTAAATACATCTCTCTTGCAGTATCACGTCTACGGTACATGTTCTTTCTTCTTTCATTCATTTAAATTTTCCAGACGATGTATGTATAGATTTGTTAAATGATTGGAGTGAGTTAATACACAACTCAATGAGTGTATAGTTTTTTCAAATTATAGTAATGAGAAGAAATGTTAGAACAATATGGATGTTTATTGTAAAACAATAAAAAAACTCATTTGATAGTTAATTCAAATTAAAAATTATATTGTAATGGATCTTAAATCATTCTATAATATTATGAATATGTGTGTGTGTGTTTGTGTGTGTATATATAATGCAATTATTATAATGCAACTGTTACTAGAGACATCATCTAAATATTATCAATTAAGATACCTCCTTTTTCGTTTTCTTTTTCCAAGTTTTTTCAGTTTATGCATGTGGGTACATTTTATTCCCAGTCAGTATCATAAGGGGTGAAGCTCCATTAATCAAGCATGCAAATGCAAGCAGTCCTAATATGATTCGTTTCTTTACACTCTCCGGTCTCCATGTCATTCCATATATTTTATAGTGACTTAAATAATATGATAAACAATTAAATTCTAAAAGAAACTACCATTCATTTTAATATGATCAATCTTTTTTAGAATAAAATAAAATTAAAATTGAGTTGTAGCAACAATTGATTAACGAATATCAATAGTGATTAATACATTTGATTTAGAGGAGACAATATCATGCCATAAATTAGAAACATGATTATTCACTTTGAGATGTTCCAATGTCATTCCTCAGCTTTACCATGGACTCCTCAAATATATATTCCAATAAACCAAACCAATTTTCATATGTGAGACATATATAGTAAAATCACTAAAATTCTTTATATTTACTTGCATGCTAGGATACATTTATAAATTTACCATCTTAATTCCTATTAACTTCATATCTATGTATGAAATAATTTATAACTTGTGAATCCTTTCTTCGTACAATATTAATCTATTCTCCATTTAAACAAAAGATTAACTCAACATGACTCAAATAATTTTAATTATTTTCTAGATCAATATGTGATTTTTTTTTTCATTTAAAGGTCAATTTAATCACCATAAGTAATATATTTAATAAAGCTTTATTGCTTCTATTCAATTTCATATTTAGATATGCAGTTTAACACAATGTATGATTTAACCAATTGAAATTCTATACTTTATCCACAAAATGTTCTTAAAATAAATTATATTTTTGTCACGATGCGGCCCGGATGCTCGATTTAACGAGACTGGAACTAAAAGTCGGACGGTAGGATCTAATCATTTTAGTTCATAAACAAAACAACATTAAAACATTAAATTCTCTTTTCTTTTATCTGAAGAGCCACTAACAATTTTTTTTTCAAAATAGTTAACATTTATCTCAAATCATAGATTACATGTTATCAATTGTACGTCGTCTTCTATAGACGAACTCTTTTCTTTTTGTCATTTCTAAATCTTTGGAGACTTACCTGAAATATTTAATTAGTAGAATGAGTTTACATAGTAAACTAAGTGGGTAACTGTTAAAACAATTAATATGAATATTCTTTATTTACAATGCATCTATAATCTTTAATATGCATCTTATCATTTCTTAACTTTATTTCACTCATTTCAGTCATTTATACATATCCGGTCATTTTCCTTTAAAACATTATAAAACTTTAATATTTCATTTTCTCATTTAATTCGTACAACCGTCTAAATGTACTCAAAGGTACAACCATTTCTATTTATCCTTTTCCATTTTCGATAACATTTTTCTTTTTACGTGCACGAGTACGACGTCCCCAGCCAATACCATAAGAGGGTGAACTCTTTTAGTTTGCATGCATATCTTTTTCCTTTCTTTTCCATTTATTTTGACCCTTTTTTATTTATTTTCATATGTCATTTCTTCGTTTGCATACTTTCTTAATACATGCATGTATCATATAACATTCTTTTTCACACATATACACAATTTCATTCATATTATTTCATTCTTTCATTTTCTGTTGTAATAATATTTACATTCATTTATGCATTTAAACTTTCAACATTTCGCACATAATAGTCTCTAAAAAAATAAAACTTTTAAAGCAATATTATGATACAAAATACTATATCATATTTGAAAGAATAATATAAAATATTGAGTTTCATAATTATAATTACCCATTTTGATTCTCCTCCTCCAATATTCGTCTTGTATTGAAATCCTTTTAACTATTCACACGAATAATACAATTTAATTGATATTAAATCTCAATTTGAAGGACTCAACAAACATTGGATTCTTCCACATGAATTACCTTACAAAAATTTCACTTCTTTCGTCATTGAGTCTTTTGTTGAAATGAACTCTTACAACTTGGTCTCTTCCTTTAGATCCCTAAAATTAAACAATAAAAATTTTCATAAAACAATATGATATTTAACAAAATTCAGATGAAAGTCTACTTACAATGAGGGATTTTTCCAAATCCCAAAGCTTCTTTCTCCCGCACAAATCTCCTCACCTCGCTTCCAAATGTCTTTCTTATCGTCAAATTAAATGTTTCCACTAATTAGAGAAAAGATTAGTAACAACTTATAAAAGTTTGAGAAAATAAACTTTTTTCCTATTTCCTTCCAAATTGTTCCTCTCTTTCACCGTCGTTTCTCCCAAATCCCTGCTTCTATAACAATAGAAATGAAAAGGAGTTGTTTAATCTTACCCTCCAACGCGATCGTTTCTTAAAAATGGTAAAACAGAACTTCCCCAAGCTTTTTCGCGAGTTCGGTCGTCTGCTCTCCCTTCTCTGTTTCGCGAAATGAACAGTATCGACCCCCTATACGGGGTCGCGACTCTATTAATAGCATTGGCCAGTTCAGTTGAACCCGTCCAAAATGATTAAGGTGTTGTTTGGGTGGTTGAAAAGGAATGCAGTGTGGAAGTGATGTAGGGTATTTGAAATTCTTTGGAGTTGTTTAGATGAGCATAAAATAAATGCGGGGAATTATTATTATTTTTTAAGTTTGAAGTAAAAGGAATGTAGTGTAAAGCATGATAGGTGGTGGCTGACGATGGTAGTGTTGGACTATAGTTGCGGCAGCCAGCAGTTGCTTGTGGTGGTAGTCGGCAGTGGTGGCTGACAGTAGTGGCGGAGAGTTGAGGCGGCATCCTGCAGGCGGTGGTGGTGGTGGCAGGTGACTGCGATGATGATGGGTGGTGGTTGCGAGCGGTGGTGGCAGTTGCCAGTGGTGGTGGTGGCCAACCGTTGCGGCGAGCGGCGATGTGCGATTGCGGCAGACGACGGTGGTAGCGGTTGGTGGCGTCTTCCGGCGGGAGGGAACTGGTGGTGGTGGTGGACGGGTCATGGAAGGAGACGACAGTGGTGGCAGGCGACTGCGACGACAGTGTGTGGTGGTTGAGGTTGTCAACAGTTGCGGTAGGCGGCGGACTGCGGTGGTGGCAGTTGGTGGCGTCTTCCGGAGGGAGGCCACTGGCGGTAGTGGTGGGCAGGGCTGCGATAGGCGGCGGATGGCAACATGCACTGAAGTTCCAGTGTATTTGGAAATCCCCAAATATGAGGAATTCAAAATATACTAAAAATGAATTAGAGAGTGAGTTTCAAGTACACCAAAATTTTATATTGCATTTGGATTACTACAAACCGAACACCAATATTCTCCAAACCCTTGCATTTGGAATACTTTACCCTACTTTTACTTCAAACCAAATAGTCCCTAAGGATGAAGAGCTACAAATTGATACCCTAACTTGCTCAACCTTGCTCCCTTGCTCTCCCTGTTGCATGCACTAGACCTTGCTCACTTGCACGATCCTCTTTCTTCGTCACACAACCTTGCTCCCTCTCTCTCTCTCTCTCTCTCTCTCTCTCTCTCTCTCTCTCTCTCATATGCATATCTCAAGATTAGTAGTGATTAAATTTGCAATTGTCAGTACTTTCTTTATGTTTATAGCCATTGTTTGCAGAAAAGAGCGGCCAACATGCAAACTATTGTATGTCACCCCGGAAAGGCTTGCTGGAAATATGTCATTCATGGATATCCTGAGGTGTCTACATCAGAAGGTAGCCCTTTATACCTAGGTAGCAGTTCAGTTAAATACTTTCTTCATTTTTTGATAAATAGATTTTTGCATATTGAAGTGGAAAAGTGTTCAGATTGATGGTGCCAATTGTTGCTTCCTGTCAACAGGGTCTTCTAGCAAGATTTGTAATTGATGAAGCGCATTGTGTTAGGTGATCTAATATGAGTTGGTTCTACTAATGCATGTTTATAATCCTAGAGCTTGTCAGGAAACTGTGATAAGTGTTTTCGATAATAAGGCTTTAGCTAATAAAAATTATTTGTTATGGTTTCAGCCAATGGGGACATGATTTTCGTCCAGACTATCGAGGACTAGGCTGCCTTAAACAGAACTTTCCTAGAGTGCCCCTGATGGCATTAACGGCAACTGCCACTCACTCAGTTCGGAAGGTATTAAGAGAAAAACTTTAGTTTTTTTTTTTTTTGGTTTGATATAAAATTGAAGGCCAAGTATTATTATCATATTCAGGATATTTTAACTACTTTAAGGATTCCTGGTGCGCTTGTTCTTGAGGCAAGCTTTGATAGGCCTAAGCTGAAGTATGAAGTTGTGGTAAAATGCAAAGATTCACTGAAACAACTTGGGCAACTGATAAAAAACCGTTTCAATAATATGTGCGGAATAGTATATTGTCTGTCAAAAAATGAATGCGTTGAGGTTTCAAATTACTTGAATCAGAAGTGCAAGATAAAGACTGTTTATTATCATGCTGGTTTGGCAGCTCGCCAGAGAGTTACTGTTCAAAAGAAGTGGCAGACTGGGGAGGTTCAAGTCGTCTGTGCCACTGTTGCATTTGGAATGGGGATAGACAAAGCAGATGTTGTGAGTTCTGCAAAGTCCTGCAAACATTGCTTTTATTTTAATTAGAAATCTCTGTAACTATAATTGTACTTATTTTTCTTATGCAGCGGTTTGTTATTCATAATACGCTGTCAAAATCAATTGAGAGCTATTACCAAGAATCAGGGAGGGCTGGAAGGGATGATCTTCCAGCAGCTTGTGTTGCCCTGTACCAGAAGAAAGATTTCAGTAGAGTTGTTTGCATGCTGAGGCATGGGCAGGGTTTCAAAAGTGAAAGCTTTAAGACAGCCATGCTCCAGGCAAAGAAAATGCAAGAATATTGTGAGCTAAAGGTAGCTTGAATTCCTTCACTTGACATTATGGTGACATCTCTCATTATGATTATAATTGCAGAGCATAATTCTATGATCATTTCCAGAACAGTTTGGATTAAAAATATATAATATCTCAGTTAAGGCTGAAGAATCACATGCATAAAATAAAGTAAAAGATGTATACCACAATTGGCCTAGGTTAAGTCAGCTAAGACACGTGCAGAACCCAAATCATAATCTTGACCTCACCCAAGATGCTCGTTGCTCAGACAATGGGGATTGAAAAGTAGCATCAAGTATGTCAAATACAGTTCAACTCGGCATCTCATCCATGTAGGATGTTTACAATCCAATTCACTACCTTGTCCAACATAGCTAGTCAAGGGAATCAGCACACATCTGTACATTATAGATTGTATATAACTATGATATTTTATAATAAACTTCTTCCTATTCATGACATTATAGTCAATGCTTACCATTTCATGGTTGTGTAATGAATCTCTTTTCATCATTGGACTGAACATGTATTTAATAATAAAGGGTCTAAAGGCCTAATAAGAGATGATAATCAGACAACTCCCCTCCCCCCCCTCCCCACCAATAGTTAATTAACCCTTATGGTAGCTAATCGTCAAATAGATACGTAGTATTTGGTGTATAGTAGCAACATGATTTGGGTGTTTGGAAATTTAATATTTAAAATTAGAAATTTACCCCTTTCACTTAAAGTGGATGGTGGGGGGAGTGATGATAGACTCGATCAAGATCCCAAGGTTCCGTCGTCTTGGGTCATCATGATTCATGGTCTACTTAGTCAGAGGAGGTAGTCGACCCAACCTGACAGAAGGATCCTTGTCGCCAATCATGAGTTGTTTCGTCCAAGTTTATCTTGTAGACATGGGATGAATATTTATCTAAGGGGACAAATTTGAATCAACCATAGCTAACAAAGGGCTTTGTTCCCTATCGGTTATATCCTATTGATTCATTACTCAAAGATTTGACACTGTTGAGTAACATATGGGGTTTGATCATGACCGTAATATAATGGTATCATTTGGCTGCAAAACCACCCGGTCAGAGGGTCCCAGTCATAATCGTTTACATGTGGTGCCATTTGGCGGCAAAACTACCTAATAGAGGACACGTGCCACACCCTTACTAGCAAGAGATGATTTGAGAATGAATCGTAGCGATATTCTCGACCAGAATTTGCTCTTTATGTGCTGAAGTGATTTTTTAATTTGTGCATCCCGACAAATTGTTGCGGAGGATGGATGAATTTTTCTTTAAGTATTTAACTGTTTTATTTCAATTTTAAATATTTAGTTTCATTGATTTTTTAGCTTCTAATTTTCATGGGAATTTGAGAGATATTTTTTCATATTTGGGGGTCTTCTCTGGTTGAGATTTTCTGTCAACACGGCCATCATCAAGGTGTTTATAGGCATTTTTATTTTGTCGGTTGAACCTTGTTGGCTGTGACTACTTGCTAACAAAGGATCCGGTTCATTGCCGATTTTATGCCTTTATTAGTGGATTTTCCTTATTATAGATCTTGAAGGCCTAATATGAATGTATAAAATAAGTATCTCGATCGATGCTGCAATCGTATATTTGTTCAATAGTTTGAGCCGTGTCGACCTCTATCTATCCACATAGAAGGATGGGGCTCGAATTTAAGCTCATTGTTTGACCCGCGTAGCATCCTCAGACGTCGCTTGTGTGCATACTACATGCTCGCTAGGGCCTATGCAGGTAATCATATTTTAATGCATGAGGGGGAGCATTTAAGTATTTAAATATAATTATTTGTGCCATGTGATTATCATTAAGGTTTGTGCAAGATTTCATTTGAAGCTTGAGAAACACATTCTGTCCGCTTGTATGAGTGTTGCAGATTTGGTGGCGTGGTATTGCAGCGTATTGAATTTCATTTGTAGTGCATTGATAATGCGGTTTGGCTTGTTCATTTTTTGCATGTTGTCATCTTCGTCAACATTCAACCTGCATGATTGTATTTTTGCCTGTAGATACACTATACGACATATCAAGAACCTTCTACCTGACTTATGTAAGTAAACTGGTCTATTCGGAGTGATAGCCTAACGTTGCAAATCTACTGCCTTAATTTATCAGTGACCCGCAGTTTTTTTATTGCCGATTCCTTATTTTTACTTATAGGCGAATCGTAGCGTTTTGTTATAGTTCATTTGCTGCTTCCTATAAGCATGTTGTTGTGCATTGTGAGGTTTGTTAGATTAGTTTGTAGGTCGGCAGTATACGTTCAAGAGTCACTGGTCGTCGTATGGCGGCAAATTGTTTTCAATGTGACATCCCCCAGAACTACTTGTGGATGCTTGCATTTGCTGCAGTTATTCCATATTTTCTCACAGATAACGTGTCATATACATGAAAAGTCTCCTACAACAACTCGTAGGTGTCTGCACATGACGAGTCTTCAGTAGTGGCTCGTGGGTGTTCCCATTTGTTGCACATCGATCACCTTTGTTTGCAAAGATGAATGTATTTGTCGGACATTGAGTTGTACAATTGTCCTAGCATTTGCTGCATGTTGTTCATCGTCACCTGTAGGAAGATTGGTGTATGCATGACAAGTCTCCTACAATTGCTTGTAGGTGCTCATGTTCATAGAAGACTCTCGGTTCCTGTTTGTAGATAACATGTGCAATTGTGTTCATATGTGATATGCCGCACTCATGGTTTAAAATTGCGCAATATGAGGCTCGCCTTGAGGCCCTCCTTTTCGCAATTCCAGTAAAAAACGCCTCGATTCTTACGCCTTGAGTTTTTTTTTATGAGGCTTGCGCCTCAACTTGGTTGAGGCCCGCCTCGCCTCACTGGCATGAGGCTTACGCCTCACACTATATATATTAAAACTTGCATAAATCTTGAAGTAAATGCCCAACATTAGACTCTATAGGAGAGGAGGAAGGCGAGAGAGCAGTTCACCATAATGATGATTCAAATGAAAAACTCCTTAGTGATGACAGTGTTGATGACTCATGAGTTCTTATGTGATATGTCATTGCTATTTATTTTTAGAAATTGGAACTATATGTTAATGAAAAAAATATTGGGATTTGGGAAAGATAAAATTTTGAGTTGAACTATATTTCATGTTATCTTATTATTGAGATGTTTTGATTTTACTTCATATCTTATGTTTTTTAATGTTTTATATTATTCACTCATTAGTATATAAAAAATTTATTATTTTATGTTTACGCAATCTTTTGATTTTGAGGCTTTTGCCTCAAAACGACTTGAGGCTTACGCCTCGCCTCATGAATGAAAAACGCCTCAATACCCGAATACGCAATTTTAAACATTGGTCGCACTCACAACATCTCAGTTATTTTCTATCCTCAAATAGATCACACCAGTCGTCGTTGCTTGCAGGTAGGCTGCTGCGTATTCATTTGCAAGTTCACTGGTGTTGGTAGTAAGGAAACTATCTCCCTTACAACTTTCTTGCTTTACTCGTAGGCACTCTACATTCATTGTACATGGTCACTAGCAGGTCATCATTACATGCCTCTTGTTGTTTACCTCTATACAATTCGTTGTGCGTGTTACAAATCTTTTGTCACGTTGCCTGATGATTTGTGACATGAGTGATAACATTATCATTGTTGCTAGTTGGCATGGGCGGATCTCCGTTGAAGTTAGGGTGGGCAAATGCCCACCCTAAAATTGCCCTAATTTTATCAATTCTAAGTGTCATTGCCCATCCCGCCAGTTCGCACTTCGCAGCCATTGGCCTGCTTTCGCGAATTGTGAATCTCTTCTTCTCCGTCGCATTCGGCGTTCAAGATGACGCCACCTTCATCTTCGCAACCCTCTTCTTCCCAGTCTCATTCGACGTTTAAGAGTTCGCTCTCAGTTCAGACTTAGCAGCCTTCTCGCAAGTCACAACCTCCCTCTTCTTCAGCTCTTCGCAGTCGCAGCCTTCGGCCCGAAGCTTCCCTACTACTTCACTTGCTCTTTTTCTTACCTGCATATTGAAAATTTTTTAATCGACCGTTTGCAATCAAGAATCTTGTGATTGGGGGAAATGATTCACATTTTTGGTTGTATACTTGCCTTAAATGTTGAGGTGAGCAAGTTAATGAACTTGACAATTTTTATTTTGGCTTGTTTTTGTTGTTTTTGCTTATTTATTAGTTTTAATTTATTTCATAACTTATGCCTACTATGGTTATTCCCATGAGGTTGGGTTGTATCCTTAGACTTATTGTTTTGACATTGACTTTACTAATTGTTACTGCTATGGTGGAGAGAGTATTTGATGTAAAACTAAATGCGATGTACAAGAATTGCAATTAAGATATTAATAGAAGAGGTTACTTTGCTTTACTACTAATAAACTCTTGTTTACTCAAATGAAAGTTTAAGAAAATGTCATGAGTGATTAAGCAATAGCAATAGGTTACACTTTGAGATTAGTAAGACTTGCAAAATAACAACCAATAATTAATAGGTAATGCAAATAGTAAATATAACAAAAGCCTAAAGTTTAAAATATAGATCCTTCACCTAGAGATCCTTCACTCAACTCTTGAAAGTGGAGGCTAGCGGCAGAGGATTGCAAGCACACTTAAGGATGCCACTATCACGCAAGTGATGCCGAGAGGACTAGTCGTCGGGGAGGAAGCCGGAGTAGGGGAAGTGCGCTATCTTCCGATAAGAGTCCACGGTGTTCTTGGTCGTTGAAGCTCGATGGTCCCGACGAGACAATAGACTATGCGATTGACGTAACGTTCCACGGTGACGTCATACTCTCAATCCGGCTTGTAGAAGGGGGAGAGGAAGATGTCTATCTCCCCTTGTTCGTTGTAAGCGAAGCCGTGATTAACTTCTTGATCCGCCATGCATCCTTGCCGAGAGATGAAGGAGCGCCAATGGAAAGAAGAGAGAGAGTAGGTGGCGGCTTGGAGGGGGGTGGGTGTTAGGCCAGCTTGAGGAATTTGAGGGGATCGACTAGGGTGGGAGGCCAAGAGATAAATGCAGAAAATATGAAATTGCTTCAGATTTTAGTGGATTGGGAGGGATTTAATTTGAAAATTCAAATTAATCCCAAGGGGGAGAGGGGCGGAAATGGGGAGGGGATTGGGGCTGATTTAGTAGGGGAATTGGAGTTAATTTGGGAGAGAGAGAGGGCCCATGAAGGGGGCCGGCCAAATAAGAGAAGAGGGAGAGGGATTGGTGTTAATTAGGTGGGGCCCACACACTAATCAAAGATTTTAAGAAAATCTGAATTAAATTTCAGATTTTATATGAAATGAAAGTTTCCTAATTTAAATGCAAGTAATTGAAAATCGCTTGAATTTCAAATTTGAATTACTAAGAGATCACCAAGCGGAATAAGCTTTTCATTCAATCATCAAAAACTAAAACTATTACATTGCAAGAGGCCTTATATAAGTAGGCATAAATAAAATAAGATGAAAAGACGCGAATGCCCTCAGGGCTATATAAGTGACTCAATGCCCACAGGGGCAAACTAAGAAACGAAATACAAGCGTAAATAAAACTACAAATAAATCAGAAATAGAGGCTCTGAATCGTGGCCGTCGATCTGCGTCTCCGGCGATGGTACGCGTGTCGAAATCTGATGTCCTCATCAGTATTTTTTGTAAGGAAGATTATTAAGCATTGACTACGTAGCAAAATGGTTGATATTTAGCTCAATGACTGTCTAGTGCCATATATTGAGAAAGAAGTATTTGATTCTGTTTCGCATGCAGTTATTATGCAACATTATCAGAAAATCTAAAGTAGAATGCAAAGTTTGTAATTTTTTTTATTTCATAAATTATAATGAAATATAGGGTGCTTAGAATTTTGCTAATGAAATATATATATATATATATATATATATTGGTATTTACTTTTTATATATTGAGTTTGCCCACCCTAAAAAAAAATATGGATTCGCTCCTGCTAGTTGGCATTTTCATTTTAATTAATACAACCGTCATGAACAAACTATAACATTCATTGGAGTTATCGTATTGTTGTGTTTGAAGTTCTTTGTACGGCACAAATTCTATATTCATTCACTTGTGTTTAACTGTTTGTCATTTGGTGAATTATAGATCCATTTTATGCATTTATTCAAGTTAGGTTCTCTGTTGTTCATTTAAGTGTTTAGTTCCCCATTGTTCAAGTTAAGACCGCTATGTTTTTTGTTCAAATCAGTTCCTCTGTTATTTTGTTCAAGTACAAGTCCCTTGTCATTTGAAATTTTGGTAGCCTTCTGGCATCTTCCCCATTTAGGAAAAATTTCAGGAGCTAAGCCTTCCCTACCATGCTACGAGAGCGCATAGGGTAGGTGTCATGCGAAACCATAGCCGTGATTTTTAATCCCACCACGATACGAGAGCATGTAGGGGTCTTCGGGGCACCTATCTAAAAATACACAGTTCTTTTCCTCGCAGCATGACGGCACATACACGGATACTAGAATTGTCCTTGCCACGCTACAAGAGCACGCAAAGGTCTACCTGCCTCATCGCAAACATCGCACCGGGTTCCATCCCACCATGCTACGAGAGTGTGCATGGTGATTTTTCGGTGTGCCACAAGCGATGAAAGCTGAATTTGAGGGTTTCTTAGTTCAGAGAGTGTTATACCTTAATGAGAGTGAGGGCGGCGGTGACGAAATCGCCAATGACGTAAACATGCACAAATCTTTTTTCTTTCCCTCTTCTTTTCTTCTTATCTCTTTTTTTTTTTTCTTTTTTTTTTTATTCTTTTTTTGCTATATAATGATATATATATATATATGAGAGAGAGAGAGATGGGCTTTGGGTTGTAATTTGGAAATGGAATGGGCTAAAGGTGGGCTGCAGTAGTGTTCAACTATAACAAGGAGGGGAAGTGTTAGGTAATGGAAATCGCCTTGTGTGAGGGCTGAATTGGATGTGAGGAGCTGCAGATGGTTGGCTTGTGAAGGCTGTAGGTTGTAGGAACAGAGGAAGAGGGAGATTTGGCTTTGGTTTAGTGTAAGTGGAGAACTGAAAGAGTGGAGTTTGGCGGGATTGTGAGGTAGGATGGGTGCTGGCGTTGGGTGACGTAGTACCCATCCGACAAGGTAGGAGATCGGTAGTTGCTATGAAGATTGGAGGTTTGGATCAGAGGTTGAGGAGGGTCGGGTGATGTAGTTTGGCATAGTGAAGGGTGATGGGATCGTTGTGTTCGGCTGCCAAAACTATGCAGAGAGCTCGGCTAGGCAGTGAAAAGATCGGGTAGGTGGAGCGAGATCAATTAGGATCGGATGGGGGCAAGGATGCAGGTCGGAGGTGTTTGGCTGACTTGAAAGAGTGAGAAAGATCGGAGTCGTGAGCCGATCGCTGCTCTGGAGCAAATTCGGCTTGTGAAGTTCTGGATTGGAAGAGGTGGAAATCAGGGTATCCATGACAGGGGAGAGCTGCGGCTTGAAGTGGTTGAGCAGCTGGATTGTGTGAGGATCGGAAGAAGTACGGGTTGAATAGGGTGTGAGGAGCTATTGGATCAGTCGAGTGAAAGCGATAGGAAACACTTGAAGACCTTAAGAATGTTCTAGCGATCTTTGGAAAACAATGAAAATTCTCCACAACAATCCACACAAAATCAAGAAAATAGTAGATAATTTGTATTATTTGATGAATTAGTAATGGAAAATACCAAGATACAATTGATCCTCTATTCAAGAGGATGATCTATCTCTTCCAAATCTTTAGATGCTTCTAGAGCCCAAAAATCTAAGAGATCTCAAATTTCAGCCAAATTCGAGATGCCCTAACCCTATGAAAACAAACTATTTAATGCATGCAATTCAAAAAGAAATATCTAAACAGCCCATACTTTGAAATTTCCCTCCTAACTCCCTTCAAAAACCTTCCTAAACAGCTATGTAGAACCTGGGTGGTCAGATCCTGCAGTACACGAGGCGGAGACTCCTGCCTGTTTCACATGGCTGTACCGGTCCAATGGACTGGTTTAACAGAATGGAAGAGTGACGGGCTGTGTAGTCGAATGCAGCAGTGAGGAAGGGAGTTTACGGGATGCGAGGAGTTCGGCTGCATAGAGGAAGAAGAAATGAAATCAAGCATAAGCTTTCGTTTTAATAATGCGAGCTCGGGAGGTTTGATCGAGGCGAGCTTGCGGGATCTGCGGGAAGAGACGTGAAAACAATCAAAAAAAGATCCCAGGTTCCCTAACCAAGGATGGTCGTCCATGGGATCATGAAAATACTATCAGGAGGAAAAGGAATTCAATTCATCTTTGTCTAGTAAACATCGGGAGCCTCTGAATACCAATGAAAAAATCTTGACATCTTGAAAACACCTAGCCAAAAATATTGTGTGAAAAGACATCCATAATAAGAGCTTAAATCATAGATTGACAGCTAAATTAATTCTCAAATCTCCTGTTATTATGTTCCCTCCAAACATAGTAGATGCAGCAGCAAGTGTATAAGTATCATTTTTTAGATCTTTCAGCTCATCAATACAATCTAGAACATGGTCAATGTTCAGACTCAGCAAAAAGGAATTTAGCATAGGAAGAGATCTGCATATAATTGAAAGAGAAATCCCACGGAAGAAAAAGAAGATGGGAAACAGATTCAGGATGATCATTTGCATAAGCAGCAAGAAGGTGAAATGATAGTATTTCTTTTAATGAGAATATCAGCTGTTTTGAGCCCTCTTATGGCAAGCCAAGCAAACACAAAATTTTTAGGGAATGTTTTTGCGCCATAGTTGCTTGGACCAAGGAACAAGATCCAAATTTTGGTATAGGAAATTTAGGAAAAAAATTCAGTCTCGATCTTTCAGATCCCAACCAAAAAATAGAATCACCACAGCCATACGATATCGGATTAGTATAAATTACCATCTTCAGCAGCGTAGGTCATTGAGAGTCCAAGTTCCAGGTTCCATTTACAATAATATCAGACGCAATCATTTGAGTGAGGGGAGATAGAAACTTCTGAGGTGCCAAAATGATCCATGATGGATTTATCCTTCAACCAGTGGTCTCAAAGGAGAGAAACAGTACTATTTTCATAAATTTTAAATGAGGGGAGCTTTTTAACGTTGTTTGCAATAACCCTCAGGTTGTTCCAACGTTTAGTTGTTTTGGAGCGAGCTAGTAGAGATTGGTTTATGAAGGAATGTGTATCTATGCTTCCACTACCTAGCCAAGAGACTAACATTAGAATAGTTATACGTAAAATTGAGATAAAACAAAGCAGGTATACCCCAACCAAATTTGTACGGTTTACATGTGTTTTTCCCAGTAATCAGCCTCATTTTCTTTGCTGAGATATCACTATAGTAGAGAAAACCGGCACAAAGTTTATTAAGAGATGTTTATAATAGCTTTAGGTATAACGTAACTTCTGATCCAACAGGCAATTGTATTTCAAATAGTATAACTAGCATTACCATTTTGAAGATTTAAGATAGCCGCCATATTGAAGATGCGCCATAATTCTAGCCAATGTTGATGAAATATTATCATATCATTGAACAATATATATGTATGAAATATTATGAATGATTAGAATCATTCTTGTCATGGATAAATATTAATCTTTGCATAATATGTTAATATCTAGACCTAACTTTGATCAAAATAATGCTTCGTTTGGGACAATTTTCTTACTGTTTTATGAAGCATATTTCTAGCACAAAAATTTCAAATTCAAAAAAAAATTGTACTAAGAAACTGCTTCATAAAGCAGTAATAAAGCTATCCCAAACGAAGCCTAAGTTTTGTAATGATTCGATTTACTTTAAGATTACAATATAAATTTTAATTAATTAGCCATATGATTTTCATCTAAAAATATTAAGTTTATCCTCACAAATTTGAATCATATATTATGACAAAATATTTGTCTATACTTTGTCTCTCTTTTTCTCTTTCTATCTCTCCCCTTTGTGCATGACTTCTGAGCTTGTGGATGTTTTAGACAGAATGCCGAAGACAGATGCTTCTGGAGCACTTTGGGGAGTCTATTGACAGGAATTGCTGCAAATTCGGCCCCAGTCCTTGTGATAACTGCTTAAAGTTGCCTTCCTGACACTGTTTTACTTGCCAGACAGCCGAGGTGATATCTGATATCTCTACTTCCATTTTCATGTAAAAAATTTATGATGTTTCTATCCTCCCATTTACTAATGAATTTCATCAGATTCTTCGCGGAGAATTCTATATTATGGAATGCATCAATAAATCCATAGGTTTGAAGTCAAAGCAGGAGTACGTTGTAGAAGACATCAATGAGTCTAGCAAATGGAAATTATGGTGGGAGCTTGCTTTAGAAGGAATCGACATGTTAGGAAGCTTTTGAAGAAGAAAAGGAGTTTATAAATTGGGGACAAATTGACTAATCAAAGGAGAGACAAAAAATTAGATTTAGCATTTTTAATTCAGTCAGCTCATGAGCCAATGAACCAAGATGGCTTAATAAGTTTGACTTATGAGCTCGCTATTGAGTTGAGTTCAAGTTGGCTCATGAGCTTGCTCGGCTTGCTTACACCTCTAATTTGTACTTGTGTTTAAATGTTTGTACTTTTGTTCTATTTTTGTTGTTTTATTGCTTGTCAACTTTTGCTTTTTGGACATGTCAAAAGTAGTAGGAGAATGTGGGTTTATTTCCCTCAAGTGCAATTTTTTTTTCATTTGTCTATATTTTCATGTTTGGTGTTATCTCTCACGCTATTGTTTCTCTTAGTGTTACTAATAAAAATAAAAAATATTTATCCTTATCCCTCTCGATTATCTTGCACTTTAGTTTTCTAATTATTTTTAAATATTTTAAAAGGGCTATAATTTATGAGGAGTCATATAAATCTTAATGATATACAAACAACCCAAATATATATTACATCATAAAAAATAGGGAGATTATTGACCTCATGAGCTTAGTGCACTATTGATCACAAATATTAGTAGGTTGACCTATTTTATTACTTGTGTTTTTTTTTTTTTTTTTTTTTTTTTTTTTTTTTTTTTTTTGTAGGTGTTTATTTCTATTGAAGATAATTCATAATGCTAGGTATATCTCATGAAAAATATCTAATTAAGTTGATGAGATATAATCAAGCATGAAAATTTAAGAGTCAAATTATTATTAGGTCTTTATTATATATATATATTTAGGTTTAGAGATTAAAAAATAATGCACACACACAAGAGGTTAAAAGTTGAAATCAAAATTTATTAAAAATTAATTATTATAAATTGATCATAACTCATCATATATCTCTAAAATCTTTATGCCATTATATTATTGTTGAATAGTTGAGTTAGTAAAAGGATATAACTCTAGTTGAAATATAAGATATTTAGAAAATTATCTGTATCTTTTTAGTTTTTATAGTTTCTCTTAGATAGTCTTTCTAATGAGGACCTTCTCATCAAGGCCTTCGTATATGCATGTCTTCTAGAAGATTATAGTGTAGATTCTATCTCCCACTTTCCCTCATAGGATTTAATAAGATGCAACATTATTTATAAAAAAATTCATTAATATGTAGCATGGGGTACAAGGTAGTTTAAATAAAATATTAAATGAAAATGCTAATTCTTTAATTACTTCTAATGGAAACTATATATTGGCAAGATATAAATTCTTTAAAAAAATTTAATGAGATAAGGAGCTTAATTTTTTAGATCTGAAGATTGTTTTTTGTAAAAAATGGCTCATTCATTCTTGACAAATTAGTTGCGCAATCTTTTGCTTCAAATAAAGATGTTTTTCTATTGAATGCCTTTTTAAGCAATGAAAATGATAATACTGGGATTGTTCTCCGCCATTTGACCTTTTTAATAATTTATGATATTTAAGGTGCTACAAGAATTTGACTCTTAACAGGACACAATGGAGAAAAAAGATTCATGAAGCCGACCTCATATAGTAGGATAAAGCCTTGATGTTGTTGTTAAGGTGCTAAGAAATGTGATTCTCCTTTAGAATATTAGCCCTAGATGCATTTAATGTGGTTTAAATGTGACACCTCCATGTTCATCATGTAGTTCTACCTATTCTGACCGGATTTGGAAAAAGATAAATTTTGGATTTTTGAGTTTTGAACCCATTTACATGTCTTTGTGAGTGTTTTAATGATTGAAAATGATTGTGTGTGGTCTAGAATGAGTCCTAAGTGTTTGGTGTGAATTTTAGCAAAATCAACAAAACATTACTATTTGAGCACCTCAGCCCTGGGCGTCCGAGCGCCTTAGCTCTGCTACAGTACCAGGTGCAAAATAATGACATTGTAGTGCTCCAGGCTCTAGAATTTGAGTTTTGAACTAGCATCGCAACATTCAGATTATTGCGCCACAACAATAATCCACTATTAGCACATTAAATATATTTTAAAAGCACTATTCCATTCATTTTGATCGAGTAATCAGACGAGAAGGAGAGAGAAAGAGAACTTTTGAGAGGGACAAGAGGACTTGAGCTACTTTCGGTCATTTTTAGCAATCGGGCTAGTTGAAAAAGTTGTTCGGATCAAGACATGTCACATTATGTTTATCTCAGTTTTCAAAATTACAATTTTTTTTTTTTAGTTTTCTGATTGAATTTATATTTTTATTACTAAAAAACGTGAATAGCTTTGCAACAATAAAACTTTAATTGCGTATTTTTTATATGTTATATAGTGAGATTATGAATATTCTGAATATTTTCAGAAAAATTTGTACGGGGTATTTTAGAAATTGTACATTTTTTTATCAAATTGAAATAATTTGAAAATTGAAAATAGTGTGATAGTATAATTAATATCTTAAAATAGTATTTTACACAATCCTTGGTAATTTGGTTATGTTTTGAAACTATTAAATTGTATTCAATAGGAATTTCTATTGTCTATTGTTATAAAAAAACTTTTGCAATTCTAACATGTGATAAATTACACTTTAAGTGTTACAATGTGATGGAATATATGCATATATAATTAAAAAATATTTACTGGGAGATATAATGGACTAGAATCCTTTGAGATTCTGTATATGTCACGAAATATTTTGGTGCCTATAAAGCATATTCTAGTGGCTATATAGTCATATTATGGAGGCTATGAGTCATATTTTAATGCCTACATGTATGTTCTAGTGTTGTAAGAATGAAAGGGAGTCATAAGTGCCAAGAATCCTTTAAGATTCTGTGTAGAATTGCAATATGTGATATGAACTACTATAGTATATGAATTTTAGTTTATTTCTATTTAGTATTTTTATTTAAAGAATTGGATAACTGCTATGCTCTTATTATCTTTCTCAATATAGTAATTTATTATACTACATTTAACTGTCGTTAAATATTCAGAAAAAGATTTAATAAAAGAATTTCAGAAATTTAGATCAGTTTGTGTGGCATACTGATATGTTATAGCTCACGACAGTTTTATTTCTTATTTTCAGGGTCTATGAAGGAGAAGGAGATTCTAGATTAGAATTTCAGGATCTAATATGAGTTTAGAAGTATTTCTCTGTTTTGATTTTTGTACATTTATGTTTATCTTATTATATAGTTATGTAGCTTCTATTTGTAGTCATGTCTTGTAGTGTAAATATATTTTGATGAAATAAAAGAAATATTGTCGATGATCTTATTTTCAATACTTTGATATTTTAATAGCTATGTAGTCTATTATTTATTTAAAAATAATATTTAAAGAGAATATGAAATATTCCAAAACTACATTTTTATATTAGTTTGTCATAACTCAACACGATAGGACATGTTCTGATTAGCTTAGGTTATGACATTAAATATATGACTCATATTGAGTATGGTGAGAAGGGCTTTGATCTCTTAACTTTCTCTTCCTTATATATTGTTTTATATTCTTTTATTTACTTAAGGATTGTTTGAACATCTTTTGATAATCATTAATAGGTCTATCTGAAAGTTCGTTAGGGATGTTAAGCCCAATGAACTTAGTCCCAAGCTAACCAAGGGGGGATGAATTGGTATTTTAAAATTTCTTTTCACAAAGAATGAAAAACACATAAACCAAAATCACACCACAAAAATAAATGCGGAAATAAAAGTGCGGAAGATGAGATGCGAATGCAAATGCAGACTCAGATGTTCTATTCCTAGGACTCATGGGAACTAGGTCGATGGGCTGTTTAGGCTGATATCCGTACACAGTTTCAACAGGGCTAAGGCCAGTGGTTCGGTTGATAGAGTTGTTGTAAGCAAATTCTGCTACATGAAGTTTTGAGTCCCAATCCCTAAGGTTTTCTCCTACCAAAGTCCTCAAAAGGTTTCCTAAACTCCTGTTAACAATCTCAGTTTGACCATCGGTCTGGGGGTGGAAAGCAGTGGAGAATTGAAGTTTTGTCCCCATTTTGTGCCAAAGGGTCTTCCAAAAATAGCTTGTGAACTTAACGTCCCTATCGGACACGATGGTCTTCGGTAAGCCATGGAGTCTAACTATTTCGTCGAAGTAAATCTTCGCGATTCTAGAAGCATCGAAGGTTTTGGAGCAAGGGAGGAAGTGAGCCATTTTTGGAAAATCGATCAACGACCACAAAGACAGAATCACGCTTCCTAGTAGTTTTGGGTAATTCAAGGATGAAGTCCATACTCACATCTTGCCACGGGCGACTAGGTACGGGGAGTGGGGAGTAGAGTCCCGTATTCTGTTTTCGCTGTTTGTCCAGTTGGCAGATGTGGCATCGCCTTAAGAGTTTACCGACATCGCGCTTGAGGCTGAGCCAGTAGAAACGGTTCTCTAGTGCAGCAATAGTTTTTGCCTTCCCGAAGTGGACAGCTAAACCTCCTGCATGCAACTCCCATACAAGATATTCACGAAGGGAGGTTTGGGGAATACAGAGTTTTTGAGCTTTGAATAGGTACCCGTTTTCTACTATGAAATCATCCATCGTGCGTTCACATCCAGAAGTCAAAAGGGAATATGTATCATTAAAATCTGGGCAGTCTTTATAGTATTCCTTAAGGCGTTCATACCCGATAACTTCAGTCCTCATTTCTTGGGTGATCATCAGTCTCCTGCTAAGGGCATCCGCTACTTTATTCTCCGTTCCAGCCTTATGTCTAATTGTGTAAGTGTACTCTTGTAAGAATTCAACCCAATGACCATGGCGGGCATTGAGTTTCTTATGCGAGTTAATGTACCTCAAGGCTTCATGATCAGAGAATATCACAAATTTTTGTGGCAGCAAGTAGTGTCTCCAGTATCTGAGGAATTGGATGACCGCGTAAAATTCCTTGTCATAGGTAGAATACCTCTGACACATGTCGTTTAATTTCTCGCTAAAATATGCCACTGGGTGTCCTTTTTGAGACAAAACGCCTCCAATACCAATTCTTGATGTGTCATAAGTTACCTAAAAAACTTTAGAGAAATCAGGGAGACGCATAACAGGGGCTTCAACCATCTTCTTCTTAATATCATCGAAAGCCTTAGTGGCAGCTAAAGTCCAGTGAAATTCTCCTTTCTTGAGGCTGTCGGTTATGGGTGCCACTATCGTGCTAAAGTTTCTAATAAACCTCCTATAAAACGTGGCCAATCCGTGAAAACTCCGAACATCTCTGATATTCTTAGGCTCAGGCCACTCATTGATCGCTCTAACTTTCTCGGGGTTGGCTGAGATTCCTCTAGATGAGATAATGA